GCGAAGAAGACTCGTCTGGGCAGTGTATAAGTGTAAAGAAATGGGTTTGGCTCATTTCATCTCATTTTCTCCATGGGAGCCGACCTAGGAGCGATTTTGGAGCTCCATTTTCATCATTCATGTCAAGGTAAGTGATTCCCACCTATTGCAAGTTAATTACTTGGATTATATCTAGATTATAATATGGAAAATCATGTAAATTAGTAAAAAATTTGGAATTTTGAAGAAAACCTAGAGAATTAGTATTCTTGGATTTTGACCACGATTCTGGGTATGGAATTAGGAGAAAATCGTATATTTGAGTTCGTGAGTTCATGGGTAAACCATATCTTCGAGAAATTTCGGAATCCGGGCACGTGGGCCCGAGGGCATTTTTGTCAACTTTTCGATCGGGGTTAGGAATTGCTATAAATTGGATTGTAATGAGTAATCGAGCATATATTAATGGATTTGTATAATCCTTGGCCAGTTTTGGAGCATTGTGCGTCGATTTAAGTCTCCGGAGGAGCGTGGAGTGCCGGTTATGGATCTTCGGAGCGAGGTGAGTCTCCTTTCTAACCTTGTAAGAGGGAATTGTCCCCATAGGTGAGTTAGTTGGTTATGTGCTCCTATTTGTGGGGGCTACGTACGCACGAGGTGACGAGAGTCCGTGCGTAGCTACTATTATGCTATTGTTCGGGTAGTCTAGGACCCAAAAGCATGCTATATTTGGATTAATTGTAAACTTGTTGACAGTTTGAATTGCTTATGTTACAATGAATTAGTAATGAATTGCTAAAAGGATTAAACTTCATTTTCTTAAATTGTTAAAGAGGATTTGCTTTTATTTGGATAAATGTTCCCTAATAAGTTCTTAATTTGCTATTTGAGCATGTATCCCTATGTGTACCTGCGTCGCATGTATGATTCGCGAGCAAGGTATTTGTTTATTTTATGTTGACCGCGTCGCAGGATAGTTCGCGAGCGGGGTAATAGATGCATCTATGGTTCGCGCCGTTCGACCCACGGCAGTGCACAGTTTATTTTCTGTTGGAGCGGGCCGTACGTCATCGGCATGATTTGCGCATGCTTGTATTGCTTGCCTTGAGATTATCTAAGATTGATATTTGCTCTCCCCGACTTGAGATAATTGGAAACTATTGGATTATGAACCTTGAGACTTTTAATATAAAAAAGGAACTATCACCTGTTCATGACTTACTTGCAATTAGTGTCATTCTTAATAAATCCTTGATTATTCGCCTTAATAATATATCATTATTGGACCACTAGTAAGTGTCGAAGTCGACCATCTCGTCTCTACTTCTTCGAGATTAGACGGGATACTCATTGGGTACACGTTGTTTTCATTCTCATACTACACTTCTGTGCATTTTTGTTGCACAGGTTCGTATGTGGCTAGTGGCTTAGTGGCACAGGTTCGTATGTTACATATATACACAATCTAGATGGATACACTCATCCGGAGAAAGTCTTAAAACCTTACATTATTAATCTACTTGTGGACTCCATCAAAATTTGAGCTGCCATTTGTTGCTCATCTTAAGGTTCATTCTTCTATGTGAGAAAGTAGTTACACATTTGTTTTATTTAATTCAATTGTATAATTAAGTTGTTAGGGAGCTGCTTTTGCGGTTGTGCAGTACACTTCCTAACTAGGACCTCCTTAATCTACAACTGTTATGAATCCACTTGCATTGTTGAGAAATCTTTTTATATAACAATAAGTTAAAGTTACGAAGCTTGTTATGGGAGTCTTACTTTTCTTATAAATAGATTCTCCTGTAACCTATTTTTCAGTGTATGAAGTAATCTGAGCCTTTTCCACGTCCTTGCTTGGAAAAGAGAAATAAAGTACTCCCTCCGTTTACTTTTACTTGTCCACTATAGATTTTGTATTCCCCTTAAAAATAATAAATGAAGCACATAATGTACCATGAACCCATATTAATTTATGCATATTTTTAATGGATTTGAGAAAATGATTTGAAATGAGTAATTAATACTATGGGTATAACAAGAAAAAAGAAATTGTCTTTTCTTGATATACTAAAAGTGACAAATAAAAGTGAAAATCTATTTTTTTAGAATACTGGATAAGTAAAAGGGAAAGGAGGGAGTATGTGTCTAGATTGAATAATGAGGGATCAGACCAATTAGGACACTGATTGCAGTAATTTGCGACCGAGGATTGGAATATACCATTTTAACCCCGAATATTTGAGCTTGAATTGTGAAGCATCCTCCTTGTAGGTGAAGTTAGCAAGGGTAGATTGTAACGACCCGACCCGTCGTATCAGGTATTACTGCCCTGTTTTCCTCATTTATTGCTTCTTCATGTTTCATTATCAGCAACGAGTGAGTTAGAGTTGAATTGAATTGGTTTGGATAGAAAATGAGACACTTAGTCTCTTTAAGGAAGGCTTAAATTGGAAAAGTCAACCGGACGTTGACTTATGAGTTCGAAGGTTCGGATGTGATTTCCGATGATCCGGTTAGCTTCAGGAGATGATTTGTGACTTGGGAGCGTGATCGGAATTGGTTTTGGAGGTCCGATGTAGAATTAGGCTTGAATTGGCGAAGTTAGCATTTTGGCGAAATCCGGTTGATATGTGAGATTTTGATCCGAGGGTCGGAATGGAATTCCGAGAGTTGCAGTAGCTTCGTTAGGTGATTTTGGATATGTCTGCAAATTTTCAGGTCAGTCGGACGTCGCTTGGTTGGGTTTTTGATCGAATGCGAGTTTCGAAAGTTTTTAAAGAACTTAGGCTTGAATCCGATGAGAATCGATAATTTTAGTGTTGTTTGATGTGTTGTGATGATTGGAATAAGTTTGGATAATGTTTTAAGTCATGTTGGTGCTTTTGGTTGAGGTCCCGGGGGGCCTCGGGATGATTTCGGATGGCTAACGGGGAGTTTTTGGAATTTCATACAGCTGAAGGCATGCTGTTTCTGGTATTCTCGCTTCTGCGGGTCTTGGACCGCAGAAGCGGAGCCGCTTAAGCGGAGCTGTGATCGCAGAAGCGGTCCTTGAGGGCTTGGCAATTTCCGCAGAAGCGGAAGGCAGTCCGCAAAAGCGGACATCGCAGGAGCGGGTGGTGACCGCAGAAGCGGTCCTGAGGATTTTAAGTTAGACCGCAGAAGCGGTTATTTTGCGCAGAAGCGGGAGCCGCAGGTGCGGTATCCCAACCGCAGAAGCGAAACCTGGCTGAGTTTAAGTGAACAGTGTTTTCACGATTTTGAAAGAGAAGAAACATTTTGGACTTCGGACTAAGGAGATTTTGGGCGATTTTTGAAGAGGGTTTCGAGGGCTATCATCAGGTATGGATTCTTAGACTTAGATTATGATATTATGGTGTAAAATCATGGATTAACACTGAAAATCCAAGGAATTAAAGGTTAAAAATGGAATTTAGGGTTTGAGAAAATTATGATGTAAAAATGGAATTTGGAGGGTCAAACGAACTCCGATTTTGGTAAATTTTATATGTATGGACTTGTGGCGAGACGAGGAATCCGGTGATGTGAATTTCGTAATTTTTCGAGAAGCGGGCCCGGGGCTCGGGTTTTGCTAGTTTCGAGATTCTTGCTAATTTTCGATTGTTTTCGATTGGATATTGTTCCCTTAGCATATTGTGATGTATTCGCTCTGGTTTTGGTTAGANAACTTGATACAATTCAATCAAAATTTTCTAACACTTGAACATATATGTTTTGTATTCACAGATGAAAGAAGTAGTAGGAAATTATAATGTCGAGTCAACATGGTTTATTGAAGGATATATGCCACCTGTTTCTGAATACCTAAGCAATGCACTAGCAACTACCACATATTACTACCTCGCGACAACATCGTATTTGGGCATGAAGTCTGCCACGGAGCAAGATTTTGAGTGGTTGTCAAAGAATCCTAAAATTCTTGAAGCTAGTGTAATTATATGTCGAGTTATCGATGACACAGCCACGTACGAGGTATGATTTGCATCTCAAGAAATTATATCATTATATAGGATTTGGACAAACAAAGTGTTGCGACGACAATTAAGGCAATATAAAAGCTAACCTTTAATTTATCTGCTTTCTAGGTTGAGAAAAGCAGGGGACAAATTGCAACTGGAATTGAGTGCTGCATGAGAGATTATGGTATATCAACAAAAAAGGCAATGGCCAAATTTCAAAAAATGGCTGAGACAGCATGGAAAGATATTAATGAAGGACTTCTTAGGCCCACTCCTGTCTCTACAGAATTTTTAACTCCTATTCTCAATCTTGCTCGTATTGTTGAAATTACATATATACACAATCTAGATGGATACACTCATCCGGAGAAAGTCTTAAAACCTCACATTATTAATCTACTTGTGGACTCCATCAAAATTTGAGCTTCCATTTGTTGCTCATCTTAAGGTTCATTCTTCTATGTGAGAAAGTAGTTACACATTTGTTTTATTTAATTCAATTGTATAATTAAGTTGTTAGGGAGCTGCTTTTGCGGTTGTGCAGTACACTTCCTAACTAGGACCTCCTTAATCTACAACTGTTATGAATCCACTTGCATTGTTGAGAAATCTTTTTATATAACAATAAGTTAAAGTTACGAAGTCTTGTTATGGGAGTCTTACTTTCTT